AAATGTTAATCTCCTTTGGCAACACCCTCTCAGACACGCCCAGGAACAGTATTTTGCATCCTTCCAATCCAATCAAATTGACACCCAATATTAACCATCACAGACAGAATGTGAGTCTGGCCTGGGATGGGGACAGTGTGGTGGGGGGTGGAGGGAGCAACCAAGAGACAGGAGTAGCAGGGACCAGACATGGCAGCTGATTTCATGGGGAATATGATGCAGGGTGAGAGCTTAAGACCACAACAGCTGGCCTGGGAGCTGCAGGGATGGGAGCCATTCTGGGCAGGGGGCATTGGTCTTTGTAGACCTTGATGGCTCACCCAACTCTGCTCATTCATTCACGCACGCTCACATCCCCTCTCTCCATTTCTCCCTCCCCCACACCTGTGCACCTCCTGTCACCCCTCTGGCCAGCAGAGAAAGCACCTGCCACCTTCACAGTGGAGTCTGCCCAGTTGACCCCATCTACTGTGTTTTCTGGGTACCCTTGGCTCCCTTGCTGACACCTGCTGCTCCTTGAAGCCTAGGACTCAACCATAATAATTATTCTAATTACCACTTGTTGGGCATTTCCTGGGTTCAGGGTATTATTATCTGACATTCTGTAACTCAGCCCTCATCAGAGCCCTTTTACTGAAAAGGGGAAGACTCGGCAATGAGGAATGCTTACACACACTACTTACTGTCCCCTTGCCTGTGAGCCCTAGGGGGCTGGAGCCATCACCTGCTTCTCCACAGCCATGCCACCAGCCCCTGGCACACTGCCTGGCTCAGAGCAGAGGTGCAGAGTTTGTGGAATCAATGAAAGGATTCCGGTCACACAGGAACTGGTGGTAGGGGTAGGGTGAGAACCCAGGTTTGTCTGACCCCAGAGCCTGGACAATTTCTGTGCAAAATTTTCCATTTTCCTTCACATTCTTTCAAACAACAGACATCTTTTTTGCGTGGATGAATGATAAAAGAGTGGATAAAACAGCATCGCTGATCACCTTCAGCCTTTCTTTCATCTGCCTGGAAACAAATTTAAATTCCTACACAAGAATAAGCTAAGTAAGTTTCCAGACTCAGGGTGTATGTTTTCCTTACAAGCCTGGGATCTTCCCACATCATTCATGATGCTTCCTGCAAAGGCTGTCATCTGCCTCTGGCGGACAGACAATTGATTTTATCCACTGCAGGTGTGTACAATTTTGCCGTTAATGTGTGTTTTGGTATTAAAGCCACTTTCTAGGGAAGGACGATATATTAAGCTGTTTGCCTCTAACATTGTAGTATAAATCTATTTTGTTTTGTTTTGTTTTTGAGGTGAAGTCTTGCTCTGTTGCCTAGGCTGGAGTGCAATGACGAGATCTCCGCTCTCTGCAAACTCTGCCTCCTGGGTTCAAGCAATTTTTGTGCTTTAGTCTCCTAAGTAGCTGAGATTACAGGCATGTACCACCACACCCAGCTAATTCTTGTATTTTTAGTAGAGACAGTGTTTCACCATATTGGTCAGCCTGGTCTTGAACTCCTGATCTCAGGTGATCCACCTGCCTCGGCCTCCCAAAGTGCTGGGATTACAGGCATGAGCCACCATGCCTGGCTGTAAAATTAAGCTGCTGCTTTCTGAATGGACCTCTAGCTGAGCACAAAGACCTATAGAATGAGACAGGGAAGTTAAGTTTCCATACGGGAAAAGGCATCATTGCCCTGGGCGGAATGAAAGATCTGAGCAAAAGGGTTAGAAATTTGCCGCAAGTGAGGGGAGGAGTTGCTAAGAGAAAAAGTGAGAGTATGTGGGAGACTGACCCTCCTTCCCTCCTGGTTCTCCTTGGGGTGGTCCTGGGATCTCATTTTCTTTTTTTCTTCCTTTTTTTCTTTGAGACAGCCTTGCTCTTATCCCCCAGGCTGGAGTGCAATGGCGTGATCTCCCTCACTGCAACCTCCACCTCCCCGGTTCAAACGATTCTCCTGCCTCAGCCTTCCAAGTAGCTGAGACTACAGGCACAGGCCACCACGCCCAGCTAATTTTTTGTATTTTTAGTAGAGACCCATGTTAGCCAGGATGGTCTCAATCTTCTGACCCTGTGATCTGCCCACCTCGGCCTCCCAAAGTGCTGGTATTAGGGATCTCATTTTCTATAGTATAGGGATTGTTGGGTTTAGCAAGAAAGGTTGAGAGCATTTATCTGTTTCTAATGCAACAATCTCCCATGAGCTAACAGGTCTAACTGCCAGTCCTGGGCTTAGCACTGTGGACCAGGAATGGTTAATTCACTCCTCATCCTGGAAGACCCTTGCATACAGCTAGCCCTGACCTTGCGGAACAGGCAGGCCCTCCTTGCAATTGAGTCAAGAGCCACAGGAACTGCAAGAGTTGAAAGATTCCTATCAAGGGTGATCACAGGGGGACTCCCAGGAGACGTGACACTGGACTTGGGCTTTGAAGCGTGTTGGGCAATGTGCAGCTGATTGTTGTCTCTGAGTGTGAGGCACAGAGGAGAACCCAGTGGGAACTCATTCGGGGGCACCCTGCAGCTCCCTTGAACCTCCCAACACATGTCATGCTTTATTGTGAATTTGCATTTAGTGTTGCCTCCCATGCTACAGTACAAGCCCACCAAGGCAAGGTCAGGACAGTGCATGAGCAGTTCCTGCATGTATCTGAGGCCCAGATGGGCTGGATCACAGCAGGCCTTCAGTGAGGTATGAATAATTTTGGTGTAGAGAAAATATGCAAAGTTGTTCCAAGTTCTGCTTGCTTTGCCTTGCAAGGGTGCAGAATGGTCAGGGAAACCCCTCTCTACTGGGACCTGCATTACTGTTTCTTCAGTCATTTTATTTGACCTTTCCTTAGCTCCTAACCAACTTTGATTACATTCTCATTAGCAAACGGTCATTTTGCTTGCAATTTTTTTTAATCATTTCTTCATTTTAGATTGTACAAGGACCGCAATATTCTCAGACTACCTTAGGATTATTTGTTTTTCTTACTTGAAAAAAACCAGGCCAGGCACAGTGGCTCAAGCCTGTAATCCCAACACTTTGGGAGGCCGAGGCAGGAGGATCACGAGGTCAAGAGATCCAGACCTTCCTGGCCAACATGGTGAAACCCCATTTCTACTCAAAATACGAAAATTAGCTGGGCGTAGTGGTGTGTGCCTGTAGTCCCAGCTATTCAGGAGGCTGAGGCAGGGGAATTGCTTGAACCTGGGAGGTGGAGGTTGCAGTGAACTGAGATCATGCCACTTGCATTCCAGCCTGATGACAGAATG